GCTGGGGAACCAACTCCAGCATTTGTTTCCATCGATTTGAAAACCCAGCCACTTCGAGGCGCCTTTGGACGTCAGACCCAGTCAAAAGGGCCAGATCAGAAATCCTGGGAGCAGGCCTGGATCTGAGTGACCACAGCCTGGGCCCTCTGCGACATCCCCTGCAGCCTGACTTGTTCCATTGTAATCACGTGTGACCTGTAGGAAGCCAGGTCAGCGGGCCCTGCTGGATCTTGGCATTCAAGTAAACGTTTTTGGCAACAACAAAGATTCAAAGTAAAGGTTGCTTTGATCGTGTTTCTCAAGAATATTCTAAAGGAGGGAGCGAAAATGAAACGCAAACTGGTTGAAATCCTTTTTCTCCATCCCGGTCAATAGACTGGCTCAGCTGCCCCTCTGACATTTACTCTTTCTTATGTCTCAGCGTCCTGCCTGTTCCCCCTTCTGACTCCAACAAGTGTCTACAACTAGGGTGTGCGTGCGGTAGCCAATCCACCCTTCTCAGCAGGATTTCCAATTTGGTAGAACCTTACCAGTAAATTTTAATGGAAATTAACAGCATTGAATGAGCCAGAATGAAAATATCAGGGCACACGGCCCAAATTCATGAGCCCAAGTGGTGCAGCAGTTTAGTATTTGGCTGCTAACCGAAAGGTTGACAGAACAACCCCTCTAGCTACTCCACAGGAAAACAAAGTGGCCGTGTGTTTCTCTAAAGATGTAGTCTGGGGAGCCCTTTGAGGCAATCCTGTTCTCCCACCTGGGACCACTGTTGTTCTGTTCTGTAGTTGGAACTGACCCAGAGCTGTCCCTCCAGTGGATTTTCAGAGGTACTTAATCTCATGGGAGGAGACTGCCCATTGCACTGTGTTATGCATCAATACCTGCAACAGGTTTTCCAGATTCTGCAGTCATGGGAACAAAAATAATACGGACATCAGCATACTCCATTTAAAAAAAAAAACAGCAAAGTTCTGTTACTGTTGTGGTACCTGGCACCATTTTATTTTTTTTTTTTTTTTTTTATGCTTCTCAGTCATCATCTGGAAAGAAAACATTCTAGAATGATGTCATTTTAAAAACTGGCTTGGTTATTTTTTTTTATTATTTAAAAGAAATTTTTTTCTGGTGAGCTCTGGCGGCCTAGTGGCAAGAAGCTGCAAATGCAAGCTCAGAGGTGCACAGTTCAAATCCACCAGATGCTCTGCTGGAGAAGGAGGAACAATCTCCTCCTGTACCAGTCAGATCTGATTTGACAGTACACACAGAAAAATAATGAAATAAAATTTTTTTTAAAAAAGAAATTTTTTTCTTTTATACTCGACTCGATGGCACTTAACAACAACAACTGGTTTAGTTAACAAAGTTTCTAGACATTGTTTTCCATACCAGATCTTTCTCATTTCCTTTATCCACCCTCCCTCCACTCATCAAATTGTGTGATTAATCATCCTCCCCGCCCCCGCGCATCCTCCCCCCTCTGCTCCCACCTTCCCCGCCTTGGAACCTCATACACGTTCTACAATAACGGTTTTATACGGTATTCGTCCTTATGGGACTGAATTAAATGCTCTCCAGTCCCTCCCAAGTTAGGTAGTAATGTACAAAATCATTACTCCTACATGCTGTATAGTATTGCTTCATGTCAATGTACCATAATTTCACAATCTATTTGATTGTGGTTGGACATTTGGGCTGTTTCCATGTTCTTTCAATAGTGAATAATGCTGCTATGAACAATTGGAGTACACATTTCTGTTTGTGCCTCAGTTCTCATTTTCTTGGGGTATGTTCAAAGAGGTAGAATAGCTGGGTCATATGGAATTTCTATGTTCAGCTTTTTAAGGAAATGCCAAGTTGCCTTTCAGAGTGGTTGTACCATTTTACAATCCTATGGCTTGGTTATTTTTAATTAAATTTTTATTTCAGTTGTGTTCATGGGGAAGTAATGTCAAGGTTGGGTTTATTTTGGTGTGTCTTTCTGGACTTCAGAGTTGAACAGCTCAAAAGGACGTTTCCCAGACTCCCTTGCAGCTAATGTCCAGGTGTGAGTTAGATCCATTCAGTCAGAGGCACCTGTGAGATCCGGCAGGTGGAAGGAAGTGGAAGCGTGGTTACTGCTGCTGCTTTTTCTGCCATGAGGGTGGGGCCACCAAGTGCAGCCTTGCAGATGTCATAGGCCTGAGATGTGAGCTGCACCCCCTAGAGTTATATGAGGTGGCCACCCTGCTGAAGACTGTGAACTGTGTTAAACCGAGAACTTACTATTGAAACATTAAACTTGTAAGAGATGCAGGCAAGCCTGGGCCAGTCGTGTTTTGCTGAGCCAGACAGATCTTGCCTTTACAGTGTTGTAATGTTGCTGCTTTCTTTATCCTTGGACATAGCCAAGATGATGCATCTGAGAGCCACTCGTTGGTGTGGTGGCTTTCTGATTTTGTAGCCTCCCTCCGTGTCACAGATGAGCTCTCTGAATGAGCCAACTCTGGAAGCTCATTCCTGGAGGACCAGTCCTACAGCCCCCTTCTGTCCTTCCAACAGCTTTGCAATTTCCTGTGGTAAATCCTGTCCCCACTACCCTAATATATAGAGCAATATCTTATTTGTAATTAAATCCTACCAAACAAGGAATCCAATGCAGCCCACAATTGCTCTTTTTTTTTTAAAAAAAAAAATAAAGTTAGCAGCTCATTTTTCTCTTTTAATTTTCTTATTTTCTCACCACCTACATTCCATAAAAAAAAAGCCTAGAAACTAACCCAGCAAATTAGAGAACTTGACTCTTGGAGTGTAAGAACGTGGAGGCACAACGCCACAGCTCAAATAGTTTCCTTACTCCTGTTGCAAACACATAAAGAGGAACGGAGAGTTGAGGAGGTTGTCTCCCATGGAGGATCTGAGATATCCCAGACCGATCTGGTCAGGATTGGGAGGGGGCCAAAGCAGGAGAGGAGGGAGAATGGGTGCTTGGTCCAGGGCACAGCACAGCTCCATCTTGTCCCACTCACGTCTCAGGAGAAATGGATCATGGAGAAGGAAAGGATGCTGGGAGGAGAATGTGGCGGGAAGAATAAGGCCACCCTCCCTGCCTCCTCCCAACAAGTATCACACAGAGTACACGTCAGTAAAGTGGCTTCTTTTCATTGCTTTCTGTTTTTATGATCTCTTCATTATTATGTTTTATTTTGTTGTCTTTGGGTGCCATCAGGTTGATTCCACGGAGACCTTGCTTGTAAAATTAAGGGTCCATGAAGGAGAGGAGCTCTTCAACGAGATGCATTGACACAGTGACTGCAACGAAGGACTTGAACGTGGTGATCATGCTGCCAGGAGGGTGCAGGACAGGGCAGGGTTTTCATCTGTTGTCCATTGGGTTGACGGGAGTTTTAGTTAATGCAATTGTGTTTAGCAATAACAGCACAATCTGTGGTGTAACAGAACAAAACTCTGCAGCTCCTGGACCATCGTCTTGATTGCTAGTGTGTCGAACCCACTGCTGCAGCCGCTCTGCCAGTCCATCTCACTGAGTGTCTCCTTTTCCACCGACCCTCCACGTTACTAAGCCTTTCCCCAGTGACTGGCCTCTCCGCATGCCATGTCTTGCCACTCTTGCTGCAAAGAGCATCTCTGGCTCTGCTTCCTCCAAGATAGATGTCTTTATGATCACTGTTGTTGTTGTTAAATGCAGTCAAGTCATGGACGACTCAAAGTGACCCTATGAACGAAAGACCTGGACACTTGTATAACTGTCATCGTTTCTCCAAGTTCATAGAATTTCCAGAGGCAGGCTATTTTGGAAGTGGATGCCACTCCTGCTTCCAAGATTGTTTTAATTTGAGAGCTCCATCAAACACTGTCCACCATGGGTAAATATTTTCACATTTGATACATCAGTGTCACGGTGTTTACCATCACAGCAACCATGAGTTATCTCTGTACAGCAAATTGACAGACCAATGCTGTAATACTTGGAAGAGTAGTTGACTGAAAACAACTAAAACCAGGCCCGAGTGATACAGATTAAAGCAGCCCCGAACGGGCAACCAAATGCCTTTTAAAATACCAGGGTAAATTCAGTCAGCTCACACCCAATTGTGAGCAACAGTCACCCCAAGCCTTAGCAAAACCAGAAAACACACCTTTGTAGAATCCAGCTGCTCCACTCCTCTTCCTGAACTTACTATTTATCTAAAATTCAAATGTAATGGTGTGTGTCCTGTATTTTTATTTGCTTCTCCATGTGGATTAACAGTGACTGGGGCAATGTCAGAGACTGTAAGGTTGACACAGGCTAGTACAGGATTCAGATCTCTTGTTCATAGGGTTGATATGAGTCGTGCTTCCTCGACAGCATCCAACAACAACAACAACAGCACACACTAATCCTCAGTGGGGAGTCCCTGAAAGAAGTGGATGCTAACGAGTAAGGGGATCTCATTTAGGATTGAATAAATATATTTATTTGTAAAATCCAGAAAATTTAAATTACTATAAATAAGTTCCAGGAGGATTCAGAGGCATATAAATAAGGCCCACTCAGGAATGTCAGGCAAATTCCCAGACAGAGTCCTCACTAACTATTAAAGTGGGGAATGGAGACGAGAGCTTTGATAACCTTCCAGCTTGTCTGGAGGAACTGGGAGCTGGCTCCATTCTTCCTCCATTTCTTCCCTGCATCATCCTTTACTATTTACCATGTGCATCTTGGTATCCACTGTCTCACTCCACCCTCACCCCATTCCTGCAGGGAGAGCAGGTCCCATCAGATGTTTCCATAGCCATTATGCAGACGTGGAAACAGGCTCAGAGAGATGAAGTGACCTCTCCAACGTCACACAGCAGAGGGGCCAGGATGAACACTCTGGGGCATGGGGCTCCACGTCTCTTCCCACTGTCCCCTGTTCTTTCTGAAGTGTCCTGGTAGGCATGGCATTGGCTTCCCACTCTGGGGCGGGGAAAGGCTGCTGGCAGCAATGCCTGTCATACCTTCGCTGGAGCCTGGAACGCAGGTGACGGACCCTCCTGGTCTCCTGGCTGGTGAAGAAGGATGCAGCGATGGCATGCCGCAGGCGGCGGGCATAGGTCTCCAGGAGGACGGTGACACAGGCCAGGAGCTGCAGGGTCCCCGCGGCGAGGGAGGCAGCTGTGTGAGGGCACTGTGCGGGCAGCAGCTGGCAGCCTGGGGAGACAAAGTGCAGCTCCCACTGGTAGGAGGAATGGGCGGACACGAAAGGCGTCTCTGGTGGCGGCTGGTTGAATAGGAAGTGGATGAAGTCCAGCAAAGTGTATGATGACTTTGAAAAGCAGAGAGAGAAGAGGAAAAAAGACTGGGTCAATAGGACAGACTTTCTGCCATCCTCTCCTCCCATCACTCCTGGACTTTCTCTGACCTCATCTGCAAAATGGGCACAGAAATAGCCCCTGTGGCTATTTATACTAAATAGCTGGGGACTGGGGAGGATCGGATGAGACTGGGAGTATGAAACAAGCTTTGTGCTGCTTGAAGAGCACCAAGCAAATGCTATTATTTTCATTATGACTATCTCTGAGCTCTGGCTTAGTGAGAAAGAGTTGTGCTGCCAACCCAAAGGAACACGCATAGCAAGTGATTGCAAAGACCATGGCCCGTATCAGGTGGACCTTAGTCTCCAGAGTGACACCATTGCTCTTTAGTACTTTGGAGAGGTCCCCCACAGCAGACTTTCCCATCGCAATACGTCTTTTACTTTCCTGACTGCTGGTGCCAAGAGTGTTGACTATGGAGCCAAGCAGACTAAAGCTGTGAACAATCTCAATCTCTTCACCATCCATTCTGATGCTGCCAATTGGCCCACTGGTGAGAATCTTTGTCTTCTTGACACTGAGCCTCAATCCATATTGGAGGCTGCAGTCCTTGACCCTCTGCAGCAAGCACTTCAGGTCCTCCCCAGTTTCAGCAAGCAGGGTTGTGTCATCTGCATAACGCAGATTGTTGATGAATCTTCCTCCAGTCCTGATGCCACATTTCTCATCATAGAGTCCAGCCTCCCGGATAATCTGTTCTGCATATAGGTTGAAAAGGCATGGAGATAGGACACATCCCTGGTGTACACTCTTCCCAATTTTGAACCAGTCCTTCAATAGCTGTTTTTTTCAGAAGTACATCAGCAGGTCTTCCTGTCTGCACCTCTGAGGGACTCAAACCGTTAACCTTTCTTTTAGCAGCAAGCACATTAACCCAAACAAATCTGTTAAACAAGACTAACTGAATTCTTGTGAACATCAACAACAACAACAACAACAAAGTAAATGATAAAAGAGTCCTTTGTCATGTCGTGGTTTAAGGGGTAGTATTTTCTTTCCTTCATAAGATTTTCACACCTACATAACACAGTTGACAATCAAAGGAATCTTAAATTTGGTAAAATGCATAAATCAGGCAGCCCATTTAGGCCATTGCCTGGCCCATTTCTTTACTGCATCTTACAGCAAAACTGAATCTTACAGTGACTTCCAGGCAAAGATTACATTGCAAATGCAGAACAATTTCAACAAGCAATATAGTTTTATCTCTGATAATACACCAATAATTTTCTAGTCTATTATGTTTCAATAATAATGATAAAGCTGGCCATGATCTCCTAAATTGATTTCATGCAATTTAAAAGACATTTTCCTAGTCTATAGAGTGGGAGCTCCTGTGTTGTAGTCCTTGCTAACCCCAAAAGGCTCGAGTCTTTGGTGGTTGGGATCCACCAGGGGCTCCTTGGAAGAAAGAAGAGCAATCCTTCTTCCACTGGAATTTAGAACCTCAGAAACCGGAAGGAAGCTCCTGAAGGGTGGGACCGTATCAAAGGCAGAGCGCGAGCAAGCATGGAGTGCTCAGTTCAGACTCACTGTCGTGTGGGAACCCACCTGCAGCTGACCCTCCAGCAGGTTTTCAGAGGCTGTATCCCTCATGGGAGGAGATTGTCCATTTTGCTCTAGTAGCTGGTGGATTAGAACTGCCTGCCTTTGGGTTGGCAGGACAATTCTTTACCCACTAGGCCACCAGAGCTTCCACTGAACAAAATTAGAAGAACAAAATTAGAAGCTTTCAGTCTTTTCTTGAGCCACAAGTCTTTTGTCTTTTTTCATTTTTAATGGTGAAATCTCACTCAAAAGTTCATGCCATAAAACATACGAAAGTGTCAGATCCTGAGTTAATAACATTAATAGCTCACATTTATTGGCAGGAGAAGGATGAACAGTCTCTGAAAACCCACTGGTGAGTCAGCTATGGGTCGGTTCTGACTCAACAATAACAACAACAACAATCTTGATCAGTAGTCAGCAAGCTTTTCTGTGAAGGGCCAGCGAGTGAATAGTCCAGCTTGTGGACCATGTGGGCCCTGTTGCAACCACACAGCTGCAGACAATATATATGAATGAATGGACATGGCTATGCTGCAATAAAACTTTATTTACAAACCAAGTGTCCATGGGTCATCATTTGCCAGCTCTGGTCTAGACCGTTCCTAACCCCCCACCAGGGAAATGTGTGGGTTACTAACAGTGCTACCCCTTATTAAAAGAGGCTTGGTGGCACAGTGGTTGAGTGCTTGGCTGCTAGTGAAAGGTTGACAGTTTGAGCCTGCTGGCTGCTCTGCTAAAGAATGTCTCGAAGGAGTTACAGCCTCAGACACTGTCGGGCGCAGTTCCACTCTGGCCTGCAGTGTTGCTGTGAGTTGGAGTCGTTCTGACACCACTCAACAACCATGTACCAAACATTGATGTGTTGTGAAGCGTGCTAAGGTGCTTTTGGAAATGTTATCACCACATTTAAGACTCATGAGTCTGGAAGGTAAGGAGGACTTGTCTAATTTGTACAAAAGAGGAAAGTGAGTCTAAGATATCTTGCCACTTGTAAAAGAGTATTTTAGCTGATTAACTGATTTAACTCACTGATAACTGGGTAGCAGTTAAAAGAATAACTTCAATGTGTGATAAGAACAGAACCCACCTCCTTGAGCTATTGTGAAATTATAGTCTTTTTATGCAAATAACGCACAACCTCTACGTTTTTTTCAGTGGCTCCCTTCTTCCTGCTCTCAAATCCCTCACCACCATCACTAATTACATGGGTTTGGATGGATGGATACATGTCACTGGGATTCTGAAACTATAAATATTTTTTTTTAAACCTCTAAAAAATTTCTTTTCTTTGATTTTATTTTGTGTCAAATGGGATCTGACTGGTACAGGAGGAGATTGTCCCTCCTTCTTCAGCAGAGCATCTGGTGGATTTGAACTGCTTACCTCTGGGATTGCAGTGCAGCTTCTTGCCACTGGGCCACCAGAGCTCCCTGAGACTGAAAATCTTAATGGGGAAAAAAGAGCCTCTTCAGTCTCCCATCAGTCAGGTGGTAGATTTGAACCCCTGACGTTTCAGCCCAACACGTAAGCCACTATGGCTCCAGGCCTTCTAGAAATATAACTAAGATAATGGTTTTTTACATATTGCTGTAAAAATATTAGCTTGGCACATGTACAAATGTACCTGGAGTCAATGGTGGGATGGGGAGAAGCAATTAGCAACCAACCTTAGAAGATATTTGTGTTCTGTGTAAAAATATAGTCAATCAGTTAATCTGTGGATGCTGAGTTGCCCATGGTTTATCCCAGGACCCAAGGGGAAGGCAAGGAAAATGTAGTGGTGAGTTAAGGGTTAAAGGAATCTACAGACTCCCCATCATGGCACTTACATCATACTTGATCGTGAGCTTGATGGGTACACTTGACAGCTTCTGAGCCCAGTCCACGGCCGCCTGGGCCAGAAGGAAGGCCACGTGGTCTGTGGCCACCGTCGTAGCTGTGACCACCAGCAGCAGGGCGAGCAGCCCCAGCCGTAGGAGACAGTGCAGCAGCTCCTCCGGGGACAGCCTGGGCCGGGTTGTATGCAGCAGCCAGGCCGGGGGCGAGGCCACCAGGTGTGTGGCCTGGGCTTCAGCCAGCTGTCCAGCCAGCTGCCGGGTGACATAGACATTGTCAAAGTGCAGGTCAGTCAGGTAGCGGTGGAGGTACCAGGCAGATTCCACCAGGAGGCCCAGTACCAAGAGCCCTGTGACCACTCTCTGGGCCCCCAGGGCTGTGGCCCGGGCCCTGGCCTCCAGGTCCGAGAAGTCCTCCAGGACCTGCTTCGTGACCCTGAGCATGTGAAGCCGGAAGGCAGAGCCGCTGCCCTGGGTCTCCAGCGTCAGGCGCCTGGCCCCCGCCTGGTGTGCAGAGTCCAGGACCCTGGACGCCTCCTCCAGCTGCCGGGTGGTGTTGAGCAGATTCTCGAGGGAGCCCTCAGTGACGCACCGCAGGACGCGCCCAGCCGCCCTCACGTTGGACAAGACGTTGGGCACCGCGGTGGTGGCCAGGGTGACAGTACTGTAGGACAGGAGCAGCCGGCGGCCCTGCTCGGTGCCCACGGTGGGCACACTGAGTGCAAACAGGCAGCGGACGGGGGCTACCAGCCCTAGGCCCAGGGCGACCAGAAGGCCACAAGCAGCAGCCGCCATGGCAGAGGGTCCTGGGGGGCAGTGCAGCGAGGACACCAGCCAGTGATGGATCAGACCTGCGGCAGCAGCGGCCAGGACACCACACAGCAGGAACTGGGTCAGCAGCTGGCCACGGCTGGCCGGGACGGGCTGGGAGAAGTGGTTCCAGGTGGCCTGCAGCAGGGCTAGGGCCTTGCGGGACCCCAAGTGCCAGAACCTCAACCTGCACAAGGAAATTAGGTGATCATGAGAATGATTATCCGTCCTCTGTCCCTGCACCCTGCCTCGCACGCCCTTTCTGGGCTGGCTGGCCTCTTAGCCTCGGAGACAGGGCACATTCAAGGTGTACCAGCCACAGTGACCCTCCCATAGGTCGCATGGCAAAGCTGAACCAATCAGAGCTTCCTTAGAGTTATTCTTGATAGTTTGTTATCAGAGAAGGGTCAGGGGCTGCTAGGAGATGAGGGAGAAAAATCTGGGCTGCTGAGTCCATGGTTCCCGTCCTGTGAGGGCTACAGGCTCAAGAGATTGTCACTGAGAGAAATGCAGGTGGAAGAGAAAGGAGAGCGAACAACCACAATACTCGACTGCATCTCTTGCTTGGCGTATAGTGTGATCTGGACCTTCCTCCTTTATGAGCGTGTTTCTGGTCTGTAGCTGGAAGTGCACTGTTGATGGTCGAGATGGCCCAGGATAGAGCAAGGTTCACAGCCATTCATAGAGTCTCTGTGAATCATAGTCAACTCGAGGATGCATAAGGACAACAACGGAAAAACAGCCATTGGAGAAACAGAACCAAATAAAGCCAACCAAACTCCTTGTTCTCGTGGAGCTTATGAAACAAAACAACAGTACAGGTCCCATCCGCAAAAGTCTTTGCCATTGAGTCCTGCCGACTCTTAGTGACCCCCACAGGACAGAGCAGAACCACCCCATGGTGTTTCCAAGGCTGTCATGTCCATAGATGCAGACTGATACATCTTCCACAACGTCATGAGAGGGTTCAAGCAGCCACTTTAACCACCGTGCTACCAGGGCTCTCCGGTACACCATTCACACCCCACCGTATCCCACGTGGCCACACACAGCTGCTTTTCCTTTCTGGCCCTAAAGACATTTGAAATTTGAGACTCAACTACCTTTCCTTTTGGACGACTGGTATTTGGAACACTGTTGTTGTCGTTGTTTTGTGCCATCCAGTCGGAACTGACCCATAGCTGACCCTCCAGCAGGTTTTCAGAGGCAGTAAATAGCTCCTAATAGAAATAATTTTATGAACTAAAAGCTAGTTGTCAGTGATTTTGGAGGCCAGCCCTGTACTGATGTGAATTATCAGGACACTAGCTGACAGTCAATAAGCACTTACATTGAGCCAAGCACTGAGTGGAGAAGTCCCACGCGTCTATTTTCTCCTGCTGTTCATTCAAGAACTTTGTAGATATTATATCCATTTCACAGAGGGCCAAACTGAAGCTCAAAAAGTTGAGGACTTACCCAAGACCACACTGTCAGAGAGCGAGTGTTAGGGGCTGCTTCTTGTTGGATACTGAAGAGTTGAACCGACACATAGCTGACCCTCCAGTGGGTTTTCAGAGGCAGTTAATTGCATGCGAGGAGACTGCCCATCCTCCCTCAAAGAAGGTGGTAAGGAACTGTGCTGTCAACCCAAAGGTATGAAGTTCAAATGTACAACTGCTTTGCAGGAAGAAGATGGGTAGTGTCCTCCAGGGTCATTTATTTCCTCTGAAAATCCACTGGAGGGTCAGTTCTGGGTCCGTTCCGACTCAACGGTACACAACAACAACATTGTCAGGGAATGCAGAGCTTGAATCCTATGGCTCACACCCCTCACCCGATTGTTGACTGTATTTTATGCCCGTGGTTCCCAACGCCCCACACCTACCCCGTCCTGAGGAGGTTCTCTCCTGCCCCCCGGAGGATCCTCATGTTCCCCGAAAGCGGCTCTAGTGGCAGATGCTGAGGAAGTCGGAGAAGTTGTTTCCTCTGGGACTCAGAGGGGGGAAAAGCTTGTTGCTTCTGCTTTTCCACCCTTTAGGAAGCCTCTGGCCACCTTGCCCCTCCCTGCCTGGGCCCACATCCTCGGGGGCTGGGCCAGCGGCCTCATCCTCTTCCCACACTCTTTCCACCCACAGGAGCTAGCGAATAGAGTGGGAGGAGCCCAGGGAACTTCTCTAATTTGACACATAGCAAGGAGGTAAAACCAGACCCATTTTACAGAGGAAGAAACTGAGGCTCAGTTCCAGTGGTTCTGTCCTTCCTCTCCAGCTCTTTTCTTGATTTTTTTTTAAATTTATTTTATTTCATTGTTGTTTTTTTTTGTGTACCGTCAAATCAGATCTGACTGGTACAGGAGGAGATTGTTCCTCCTTCTCCAGCAGAGCATCTGGTGGATTCGAACCGTGCATCTCTGAGATTGCAGTTGCAGCTTCTTGCCACTAGGCCACGAGAGCTCGCCCTTTCCCTGGTTTTAAGGGGAGCAAACCTGACTTCAGATCACAGTTCTGTCCTTTCCTAGCTTTGTGACCTTGGGCAGATGACCTTATGTCCCGTGTTAAAGGAAAAAAAAACATTTAAGAAGGACTCGGCTTCTTTCAGCTACAGAAACAGATGGCTGCAGCCTCTGCTCCGAAATCGCTCTTCAAGTGCAAAGCGTCATTACCGGTTCAACTGCCTATGGACTGCGGCTACCACTTTAACTTGTCACGGACCCCAACTGCTCCTGCTCTGCCAGTGGCTTCTGCACCTGCACTGGATCCTGCAAATGTCAAGAGTGCGAATGTACCTCCTGCAAAAGAGCTGCTGCCCCCTGGGCTGTGCCGAGGGTGCCCAGGGCTACGTCTGCAAAGGGGCATCGGAGAAGTGCAACTGCTGCAGCTAAGCCGCCGGACAGCCCTGCCCAGATGTAGATAGAGCGACCTGTACAAACCCTGAGTGTTTTGGGAGGTTTGTTTGTCTGTTTGTCATACAACTCTGACCCATTTGCTACATTCTTTACCCCTACAAAATAGATGACAATAATAAAAATGGATGACTTAAAGAAAAAAAATGATAATAACAGTTAACATTTATGAAGCACTTACACTGTATCAGATACACTTCTAAATAATTATCTTTTTAAAAGTTTTTCATTTTATTATTTGTGTGTGTGTGTGTGTGTGTACGTGTACTGTCAAATCGGATCTGACTGGTACAGGAGGAGATTGTCCCTCCTTCTCCAGCAGAGCATCTGGTGGATTCGAACTGCATACCTCTGGGATTGCAGTGCAGCTTCTTGCCACTAGGCCACCAGAGCTCCCTAATGTTTCTCATTTCAGCTCACTGAATTATTTCAACAACTCTCTGTGGTAGGAACCATTATGATCTCCATTTGTCAGTTCTGAAAACTGACACCCAGAGACATATGTAACTTAGCCAAGCCACTTGGCTAGTAAGATGGGTGGGCAGGTCGTGTATTCCTAGAAATCTCACTCTTGTGTGTAGCCAGTTAGTCTGTGTTCTTATTGGGCAGAGCTCTGGTGGCTAAGTGGTAAGAAGTTGCGCTCCAGTCCCAAAAGTGTGTGGTTTGAATCCATCAGCTGCTCCGCAGGAGAAAGATGGACAGTCTTGTGAGATCTACTGCCCCTGAAAATACGCTGGAGGGTCAGCTGAGGGTCGGTTCTAACTCGACAGCACACAACAACAACAACCCAATAGGCAAGGAGAGTGGAAGTGGGCATTAGCAAGCCCAGGTTTACCTTGCTCGCTGGACCGGATTGTAAATCGGAGAAGGGGTTTGATTCTGTACGAAGATGCTGACAGAGGTGCAAGTGGACCTAGAAGCAGAATCTTTGATGTGGTGAGAAAACCATGAACTTGTCCCCTGCAGATCGCTGACTTCGCTGACTGGGTAATCTGACGCACACTCTACTGGTCTGGAGAGAGTTCATTCCCAAACTGTACGGGGTTGTTGCTGGCCTTGTAAAGCGTCTAACGCTGTGAGGAAACCAGTGGTCATTGAGTTGATTCGATTCCCGGTAACTCAGAACAGAACTGTGTGCTCCGTAGGAATTTCCTTTTTTTAATTATTAATTTTAAGGAAAGTTTACAGAGACTTAGGGTTTCTAGTCATTCATTGTTGGTACTTTGCTCCCTGCCCACCCCCTCCCCCGCCCAGATTGACTCTTCTCCTTGAAAAGTAAAAGAAAACTCTTTCATTGTTATGCAATCCCTCGCCCCAAGTCCACTCCACAGTGCAGCCTTCATTCTGGACTCCTGTCATGACAATAATACCCAATCATATATCCCTTTTAAACAGTTCTCTCTGTAGGAGTTTCAATGGCTGATTTGGGTTTGGTGTGTTTTTTGTTTTGTTTTTTTCTTCATGAATAGATCATCAGGCTTTTCCCCTCAAAACACCTGTGTGAACTCAAACCGCCAAGCTTTTGGTTAACAGCCACGTTCATTAGCCATTTGCACCACCCAGGGGCTGCAGGAGGCCTGTCCTGAGTCTCCTGCTCTGAGGAGCTCTTGGTTTAGTTTTGGGGTGAACCTGTTGAGGGAAGCCCCCAGCTAGGGGGCATTCTTCTCATTTTACCTTATAAGGATTTCTGCCTGGGCCACTCACTCAGACCTAAACGGGGGTGTCCTGTGACCACACAAGGGGAAGTGACATTCTCACAGTCACACAACTGAGTGAGACACCTATGGCCAGAGCCCTCTGAGGGCCAAGTCCATGAGCCGTGCCCGGAGGAAGCCAGGTCTTCAGAACCACAAGGCTGCAAAGCGCAACTCCACCTGGGTGCTTCTCCTCGTCCACTGACGATGGGGCCAGTGGCCACAGGAGTGAACTGAACAGGCCCCATTGGGTTTGCGGTGAGCTCAAATGCAGACGTCTTCACAGGAGCAGCTTATGCTCAGCTCCAGCCGGAAGGTGACCCCACACAGCAGCGTGGACCAAAGATGCTAGATTTTCCATTCTTTTCAAAATGCCAATCGCATAAAAACAAAAACCAACAAAGCAAAGCAAAACAAAACAAAAACCCACCAAAAAAAACAACACCCAGAACCAAAAATAATACCCAAAAATGCTGGTCACCTAGAATTTTATGTAAGAAAAGTTTTTAAGTCAGCAACCAATTCAGGTTTGCTTGGTTCTCTTGTGTGTGTGTGTGTGTGTACCGTCAAATCAGATCTGACTGGTACAGGAGGAGACTGTCCCTCCTTTCGCGGCAGAGCATCTGGTGGATTCGAACCGTGTGCCTCTGGCATTGTAGTTGCAGCTCCTTGCCACTAGGCCACCAGAGCTCCCCTAGGTTCTCGTATTTTTAATGTAGATATATCATGCAGGCCAATGCCACAGTCTGTAGGTTGGAGACAACCCATGGGCCGCAGTTTGCAGCCTCTGCGGGACAGACAGCTCAGTAGCTGAGGCAGGGGCTGTGTGGCTGCTCCCTCAGCTGGAGCGGTCTTGGGCTGGAGGCTGCACACATGCACTCAGATGTTATCCTTGCCACAGAAGTGCTGTGTGACCTTGGCCATGACACTGTCCCTCTCTGAACCTGAGTCCTCTGCTGCAGTGAGGAGGGACATGGGCACCGTAGATTGTCTGAGCCATGGTGACAGCACGTGTGTGAGGACTGTGCGTCTTAGTGTTGTTTCAATGGCAAACACGAGATTTTAGGCTCGAGCTTCAGTCTCTGCCTCCTCCAAAGAGAATGAGTAAGCCAGGTGAGAATGAGTGAGCACCAGCTCTTTCATTCAAGGTGCCTCTGAATGAACTCAAACCTCAAACTTAGGAGTTAGCAGCCAAGAGGGTTAGCTATCCCAGCCGGGGACTCCAGTGTATTTTGAGGCGCAGGAAACAACATGATCGGTGCTCATGCCCCCTCCCTCCAGCCTGGCTGATGGTTCAGCCTGAATGAGTGCCTCTGTGATGCCCACTGGGCCATCTGGCCTGGGTCCCATCACCCAGGAAACCTTCAGGCACTGCACATCCTGGAAGGCACCCACCAGAGTGTGTGAGTCTCGGCTCTAGTGCAGGGAGCTGATTGGCTAAGGGCCACCACACTGGTCATTTCCAGAAGGCCTCTGGTAGGTGTGGGGGCGTGGGAGCAGGGAGGCCTGGAGGCAAAGGGCAGAAGCTATTCTTGGCTCTTTTCAGCACGCGTAGGCAGACACCGCTATCTATATAAGGTTAGCCTAACTCCAGCGTCCACAGGAGCGGGCGAGGGCTTCTGAATCAGCCCAGGAGGGGATTTCTGCATTGAGAGGATTCAGAGCCATAAGACAGAAGGGAAGAGGAAGTGGTGAACGGGGAGAGACTACCCAATAAACAGGCTACATACCGAGGTCCAATTGTGCCTTGTCACCAATCTGCAGTGCACACTCACACCTGGCTGCCACGGGGCCAGAGAAGTGAAACCCACGGGAAACTGCTTGCCACGGATTAACAAGCAAACGCAGCGAAGCTGTGCTTAGTGGTTAATCCACCCCCGGCGGTAAACCTCCAGAGCTGCCTTGGCATCCTGAGCGGGAATCGGAATCCAAAGAGTGTGGAATGAATATTAGAGCCGTTGAATTTTACAGCCAGTGGATGTATAATGTTGCCACCATCCAGCTGGTTTGAGAATAGAGAGAGGCAGCTAAAATCCTACCATGCTGTGCGTTATTAACAGAATGGACCAGCAATGCCAGCTGTAGCTAGAACTTAATCCTTCCTAGCAGCCATATAAAAAAAATGAAGGCAGTTTGAATAATGTCTTTTATTCACCCCAATATGTCAGAAACATTATTCTTTCAGCACGCAAACAATGCCAAAAAAAAAGTTATTTATGGGCTGTTTCGGACGCAACTTTATGTACCGTTTGTTTAAAATCTGGTGTGCATTTTATACTTACCCCGCACCTCCGTTCAGACCGGCCACATTTCAGATGTGCAGTAGTTCACACACAGCAAGTGGCTGCCATATTGGGCAGTGTAGATAGAGACCTTTCCCTTCATCACAGAAAGTTATATTGTTCTAAGGTGTTAGAACTAGCGACTGCTAAAGCTGAAGTGAACATTTCTGTGTTTTTTGTTTTCTTTTTTTTTTTTTATGTGTGTACCTTCAAATTGGATCTGACTGGTACAGGAGGCGATTGTTCCTCCTTCTTCAGCAGAGCATCTGGTGGATTTGAACCGCGCACCTCTGGGATTGTGAAGTGAACATTTCTGATCATCAACGCTGAGGTTATCGCTTCATAGATTTTCAGAGGCCATAGAAGTGACAGAATCAAATGAAGAGAGCCAGTGTAAGACTCTAAGGAGCAGTGAGGACTGCGGCAAACAAGAGAGTCAGGCTCTAACTTCAGTCCTGCCCCCCAGCACTGTGCAGTTCTAAACAATTATTGCCAGGTGAGGATCAGGGTTTCATATTTCCAGAACCTTCCAATATTTCCTTTTTCAAGAGAATTCAGCAATCCAGATTTTGTGGGGGTGAAAATATCTGAGTTTTAAAGTTTAGGCAAGTAATCTTTCATGTAAACCTTATACTAGCTCCCTTGCCCTCGGCCAGGATTCTGAGTTTCTGTCCTCTTTTCCTATCCTCTGGCCATACCTTTGTAACTGTGTTGTTGTTATGTATTGTCCAGTTAGAACTGACTCATAGCTGACCCTCCAGTAGGTTTTCAAGGGCTGTAAATCCCACAGAAGGAGATTGCCCAGCCTTCTCTCATGGAGCGCCTTGTGGATTCGAACCTCTTTCCTTTGAGTTAGCAGTGCAACTCTTTACCACTAAGTCATCAGAGTTTTATCAAATTCTCCACTTACCCTAAATCACCGGGTTTGTGTGCTAGCTATTTCTTGTTGAGATCCCTGCTGCGTGCTCTCATTTCTCAGACAGGGAGCACGAAGTCCACAACGGTAGAAAGACCTGCTCAAGGTCACGCCTGGCTGTTAGTGGAGTCAGGAGTCCAGTGCGGCTCCCAGAACTCCTCCTTCAATGACGGGGTTTGGGGTTTTGTTTAAAAACTTTTTATCATGTATGAAATGAATGACGTTACGTCAGTTTAAAGGCTAAATTGCACCTGAGTCAAATCATCATCTTTTCAGTTGCTTCCTGTGCATCTGAACATTGGACAGAGGGAGAGTCGATCGATGCCTGTGAGCTGAGGTGTTGGAGAAGAGCACTGCAGACCTCATGGACTGCCAAATCAAGAACTACAAACACAAGGGCGAATAAATGTCTCGGAGAAAGTGCAGCCTGGGTATTTCATGGAGGCCAGGATGCTGCTGCTTTATCTCACATATTTTAGGCACCTTGTTAGGAGGGGGACTGGTCCTTGGAAAGCGACGTCTTGTTTAGAAAAGTGGAGGGTCAGAGCGAGGACAGCCCTCAATAAGATGGACTGACTGACATGGTGACTGTAGCAACGAGCTGAGATGTAGCAGAGATGAGGAGGATGGCACAGGAAGGGCAGGTTCAGATCTATTGTTCATAGAGTCACTGTAAGTCATAGTCGACTTGATGGCATTGCAACAACAAAAATAGCATTACAAAAACACTCTTCCTATGTCGTCCCTGTGATTCTTGTTTTCATTCTTCTAAACTATCCCTTCCTGTCTACTGAGCTTTCTCCCTAGACAAACACTGACCATTTGCTCTTATATTGTGATAAGAAGCGAATACCTTTCTTGTTTTATGGTTTCACCTCTTTTATTTGGCTGAAGGTTGAGCCCCAGGGATGAGTTTGAGTCCAAGCTCAAGTTATTACTAAGGGCTGTATTCTCAGGGGTTCTGTGATGTTTGTTAATTTGTTCTGTCATCCCTGACTCATTCCTATCCCCCTTGGCTCTAATCTGTGTGATGTACATCCTGGAACATGTGTGTAATTGTCCCATCACTTTAAATACCTTGCTGGATCTTCCATATGTTCATCATATTTTATTTCTTATCTCTCCAGTCATGCTCATCTGCGTGGCCTCTGACTCCTTGGGTCCTCAAATAACAGTGGCAAGAATGTGCTTCTCCACTGATTCTGTAGGCACTTATGGGATGGGATGGCTGGACTATAAACCCAGGCAGAGAACAAGAGGGTCATGGGGAAGCCAGATAATGAATTCTCCAAAGTATGCCCAGTTGTGCTTCTGGCTGCCGGTGACAGGTTACAGTCTCAGCGGCCGAATGTGGCAGCTTCTGAGTTCTCACATCTCACCCTAACTTGTCATCTACTCTCCTAGAGTTTGCCAGTCTGATTGTGATTGAAGACGGCTTCACATTATATTATCTCTGCTTGTCTGTGGGTTTGAGAATTTCTTTATAATCCTGTTAGCCACTAGGATCGCCCTTCTTGGAGCGGCATTTCCATCTCTTTTGCTCAGTTTTCTATTGGGGTTTGTGGTAGATGGCTTTCAGAGATGGCAGCCAGCCATGCCTTTCATCTTGCTCAGCCTCCCGTCGAGAAGTGCAGTCTCTCTCTTCAGATTGAATCAGGCCAACCCTAGGACTTGCTTTGACCTTTGATGTAGCAGAGTTGACAGCCCTGAATTCCCAAGCCCAGGCCTCAAGGCACCTCGTCAGCTCTGCGTTCGCCCTCTTGAAGCCGACTACCCTGTAAGACTATGCAGTCCAGCCTCCGGTGAAGAGAGGCCCCGTTGAGTCGGTGCCTTCTTGGACTTTGAGGCCCCTGCTGGACTCCCTGACGAGCACCCTGGTCATCCCATTTAAGGGCAGATAAAGTCATCCCGACAGAAATGTGAGTTGCCATGGTTTGAGGACAGCAAGAGACGGCTGCTTTCATTCTAACCTCTGGTGCTCATTGTACAGCTCAGACCTGATTCCCTCATCTACTTCCAATGATCTCTGTCATCCATCACCTCTGTCATTTCCCCTCCTCCACGTGCTCACAAGCCCATCTTTAGACATTTATCTGCCTTCACCCACTCTCCCCTGCCCTCAGGCCTCCTCTCTCTCTGAGAAGGTCAAAGCCTTCAGGTACTGGTGATGAGTTCTGTCAGGTGCTTTTTCATCTGTCTGTTATTAGGTTCTATGGCGTCAACTTGACTCAGAGTGGGACCCATGCCATGTCCGATCCTGCACCGTGCTCACGCCAAGCACAATGGTTGCACTTAGAATTAGTCTCAAACTGATCTCAAACATCCAGAAGGCAAATAATCTCCAGGCCCTGTGTGATTCACATTCTTTATTTTATAGTCTTTTCAATCAGAACTATTGGAAATCATGATTCATCTGGTGACAGTCCCGAGGTTTTCTGGGAAAGAGCCTTCCCTGCCCCTTCACTAACACAGTACACCCCATCCCACCCCTGTGGGCTGTTGTTGTGTACTGTCCAGTCAGACCCATAACTGACACTCCAGCAGGTTTTCAGAGGCAATTAATCAAACAGGAGGAGATTGCCCATCTTTATCCCACAGAGTGGCTGGTGGTTTTGAACTGCCTGCCTTATGGATTACAGCACAGCTTCTTAACACTAGGCCACCAGTGCTCTCTACTAAGCTAAATTAAAACCTGTGGGCTGTAGTGTGTTTACATACTGAAGTGCTCACTTAGGAAGGAGTTTCTGCTCACTGACCCTGGGCCCTCTTACTTGCACTCAGGGAGACGCCCAGGGCCACTGTGTGCTGGGCCCAAAAAGAGCCTAGCTCTCCACTGAGGCTTCCCGCTCGCCGCCAGGGAGCCTCAGACCCCCATTGAAGGAAGGGCTTTCAGGCAGACAGCCAGCTCTCTTGACTGTTGTCTTTTCTGAGGCTGAGCTAATACTGTCCCATTCATTCAAGTGAATGAATGAAGTGTCTTCTTGAACCTTTCATGTGCCTTCGAGGTGCTTCCAACTCATAAGAAACCTTAGTAGACAGAGTAGAACTGGTCTATGGGTTTCCTACGCCACATTCTTTATGTGAAAAGCTCATCAGGCCTTTTCTGCCTCAGAGCAACTGGTGGATTTGAACTGTAGACATTTCCACTAACAGTTAATTGTTCAACTGCTGTGCCCCCAGCGCTCCTTCTAGCCTTAATACTATGCATATCACTGGAGTTGGATGTTTGTTCTTAAAAAGAGGGCTGTTTCCCTTCTGTAGAAGATGGCTGCAACATTTTGCTTGCCTGAGACCTTCATTAAGGTCACAGATTATCTTTTGACTTTCTTCTCACTCCCCGAAAGTGAGATCTTTGCTAAATGAGCTTGATGGCCACTTGGGGTTTGGGGTGGGAGTTGAAGGTCAAGCTGTGGGAGCAGAAAAACAGGGCCTACACTCAAGAGGGACCAGGATAGAGGGGCCTGCTTTCCAAGAGGGCAGAGCCCTGACTTGACCTTAACGCAGAGTTACAGCCAAATCACATCATATTAAACAGGGCAACCCAACAAAAGCTTGAGTGGAGAAGGCAGCTGGCATTTCCAGAATGCTCCAGGGCCCAGAGGCACAGCCAAAAAGGCAGAATTGCACAGTCACCATGCACAGGAGGCCATCCTGTCCTGCCCCTGTCACTCCCACCACCACCAGGTTCCCAGGAGTAAAAAGTATCTCTGATCCAGAAAAGGCACCACCTGAAACAGAACATCCACCAGCTGTTAACAGCTGGAACACCTGGACTGGAACATTTCAGTCTCAAATGTTTTTTTTTCCAGGGAAGTTTTTCCCAAAGGCAAGATGGTCTCCTCAGAGATCAGAACCTTGTTATGGATTGCACTGGGTCCCCTAATAATATGGGTTGTAAATCCTAACCTGCACACCTGTGGTTATCCTCCTCTTTGGGAATGGGTGCTCTTTGTCACGTGAATGAGGCAGAGTTTATGTAGAGTGGCTCTTTTGAGATATGTTGTGTTCTGTCCCATGAGTCGGAATGAACTCATAGCTGACCCTCCAGCAGAACTGTAGAGGCTGTAAATTGCACAGGAGGAGAATATCCATCTTTCTCCCTCAGGGCAGCTGGTGGACTCCAACCACTTGTCTTTGGGTTGGCAGTGCAACTCCTTATCCACTAGGCCACCAGAGCGTGGAAGAGATTAAACAAAGGAACAGAAACATTAATGCCAAGCCGTATGAAGACGGTCCAGGACCAGAGGCTCAGAAACAAGGACACTCACTGACTTAGAGCCACACCCTGAACTTGGACATCTGGCCTGACTAGACAGTGTTATTTTGTTCTGTTGTGTCTAAGGTCACTATGAGTCAGAGACCGCTCTATGACCCTTCCAACAACAACAAGCTGTGAGAAAATAAATCTCTGTTTTCTAAAGCCACCCATTTGTGGTATTTCTGTTAGATCAGGAATTACTGTTCTAGATAATTAATATGATCCTTAAACAGTGACACGATAATATCTAGCTGTGCCCGTGAGATTGGAAGGCCATCTCAATGGGAGAAGAGAGAGGCCATCCCAGATTTGCTACAGTCGGTCCTCTTGCATCCTAACCATGTAACTGCTTAAAGATAAAGGATTTGATTCCTCATACAGCAGACCCAGAAGATATCTGGGCCTTTAACTATGAGAGAGGAAAGGAGAAAGCGTCTCAGAAAAGGAGCGTGTGGGCCAGTGGGTGGTGCTCATCCTGGTGTGCTGCGTATTGGATCACAGGAAAGAATTGCTCGATGGTCTCGTTGGGTCCTCAGCAGCAGGTTATTGGTGACAGCCCTCTGGGAGGGCCCAACCCAAAGGGAGTTCGCTTTGGGGCCTCAGAGGGTCCGAGATGTGGTGTTGATCAAGGTAGGCGGCAGCAGCGTGGCATTGGCTAAGTGGGTGCTGGCCCAGGCTGGGAAGGTGCCGAGCTGGAAGATGGTCTGTGCCCAGGTATTTATGGCCAAGTTGAGCAGCAGGACACCCATCAAGTTCATCAGGAATCCTGCCCGCACCTGAAATGAAGCCCAGACTGAGAGAGGGGACACACTTACGCCCTTTATGTTGGGTGCTGTGTACTGTCGGGTTGGAACCTCCAGTGGGTTCTCAGAGGCAGTTAATCGCACGGGAGGAGATTGCCCATCTTTCTCCCGTGGAACGAACGGAGGATTCAAACATGTGCCTTTGGGATTGCAGCCTCCTTGCCACTAGGCTGTAGTATTTACAGGAGGAAGAGATTGCCGGGTCCAGTTGCAGACCTCATGGTTAGCAGCCACTAGCTAATGTGACACCACCAATGGTACCTCCAGGGAGAAATATATGTACCTGGTCACGACCTTAGGACTTGCAACCTGAATGACTCTGGAACACCTGTCTCTCTGTCACCTTTTAAGGGACCCTCTGGTGATGTAGTCCACAATGTGTCGTGCCCCTGACCAAAAGGCCTCCAGGCTCTGGCGGTTCGAATGCACCAGTGAGTCCCAGGAAGAATAATGGGCAGTCTCCTCCCATTGAGATTTATAGGCTTGGAAACCGTGGAGGGTCACTATGAATTAGAATTGACTCCACACGAGTGAATTTTCATTGGTTCATTTTTATGTCCCTTCAAAACCTCTCAGGGAGCTCTCTGGTGGCTTAGAGGTAAAGAGTCGTGCTGCTAGCCCAAAGCAACACAATTCAAATGCACCAGCTCCTCTGCTGGAGAAGGGTGGACAATCTCCTCCCGTGCGATTCACTGCCTCTGAAAAACCACCCGAGGGTCAGCTAGGAGTCAGTTCCAACTCGATGGCACACAACATCTCTCAGCAAAATCCTACATCACCACCCACAGCCCACCCACCACCAGGCCCCCACCGCCACTTCTCCAGGCCTGAAATTGCCCAGACTCACCATGTCTTTGACCATTAAGTGTCCAGAAGCGAAGGCGATGGAGTTGGGGGGCGTGGAGACCGGGAGCATGAAGGCGTAGGAGCAGCTGACCGTGCCAGGGATCATCACGTACAGAGGGTTCACTTGCAGACGGAGGGCCTGGGCCAGGAGGAGCCGGAGAGATGAGACATCCACAGATACGAAGGAACAGCAACCAGACATGGAGAGAGAGAGTCAGAGAGAGTCACACAGGCAGGGATGGAGAGGAGAGCAGAGGACAACAGGACATTGGAAGAGAGCATTAGACAGAGGCCAGTTTAGACAGGGAGGTGGAGACAGAAAAGCACCAGGCCGAGGAAAAGATGGAGAGAACATTGCCAAGGTTAGTGATGGTCCTGGGCCATGGTATAGGTTCACAGGGTGGGGGACGATGAGCTGGTATCATCTATTTAGAACTCTCTCCTCAAACTTGAGCTCAATCATTAGCAGCAGGAGAACTTGTTCAAACTCCCAGTGCTATTAGGCTGAGTGAAATATCTCAGTCACAGAAGGACAAATACTGCATGGTGCCACTGTTGTAGAATGAGGCTGACATCAGGGTGGGGGTAAGACTGAGAAAAACTGGATAAATTATGTATACTGCATTGAAGCCGGTGAGGGAGAGAACAGTTTAAAAGTGATATATTTTTAGGGCATTATTATTATCATAAGAGTTTGGAATGAGGGTTGCAGAGTGAAGTATACTTGGGGTGGGAGTGTGGGGTGTGGGGGCATTTTATACCACTGAAGGAGTTTTTCTTTTCCTTTTCAAGGAGAAGAGTGAACTGGGGGCGGGGGTGGGGGTGAATGGGTAGGGAGAAAAGTACAACAATGAATGAATGGAAATCCAAAATTTCCATAAATGTTCATTGAAATTAATAATAATAATAATAATAATAATAATAATAATAATTCCCAGTGGTGGGTCCCAGCCTCCCAGAGTAAGTGATTCAGTGGTCTGGGGTGAGTTATACACGCCCCCCATCCCCCCACCTCACCCCTCCAGCCCACACACAGAGGACTGATTCTGTGTAGGACTCCACCCCCAGCGTTTTGTAAAGCTTTGGAGTGGAGGGTGACTGAATGTTTGCACTTCCAAATCCCAGGTAAGATGAGAAGCCACTGCGAGAGTCCATACTAACTCATGGTGACCATACAGGACAGTCCCCTCGAGTGTCCGAGGCTGGAGTCTTGATGGAAGCAGACCTACATCTTTCTCCCAAGGAACAACCAACCTCGTGGTTAGCCCCTGAGCACTTAACCAGGGCACAACCAGGGTTCCTTATAGATGAGAACAGGACTCGAATAACAACCCCACTGCCTGAAGGCCAGAAATACGGCTCAAGATGGCATTTGTGGGCAAGCATTTCCAAATGTCTAAGACTGGATCAAGCATGTCTGTGGGTTACATTCAGGCAAAGGGCTCCCTCCCCCAAGCTGCATGTCGGTGTTTTTGTTGTACCATCAAAGTAAATTCTAACCCACAGACCAAAGCCCAAGGCCATTGCCATCGAGTCAATTCTCATTCAGCGTGTCTCCATATTTAACTGCAATTCATGTTGATACATGCATTTCTTTTTTTCTTCCCAAAGTCGAGTATCTGTGGTCCCTCTGGAGCATTTTTGCAGCCCCCAGGGTGCATTTTTTTTTCATAGGTGCTAGATCATTCCAATGTGTTTAAAATATTTTGGTTTTGACAATGAGCAAAATTTTTTTTTGGGAGGGGGGGAAATCTCCCTTTGCTAGAATCTTCTCTGGCAAAGGCTGCCCTCTGCAGGCCCAATAGGGTTCTGTGTTTCTTCGCCTCCCACCATCCCCACAGCAGCCCTGGCTATAGCCCGGCCCTTCTGATGCCGGGAAATGATTTTATTCAATCCCATCACATTTGGCAAGGGTGTGAGGGAAACCAGTCCCCTGCCTCATATTGCTGATGGGGTTCTAAAATAGCACCTCACTTTGTAATCCAAAGTAACGTATTTCACAATTTAAGTACATGTTCCTTAGTTCAAGGAGCCCACGGCATAACGCACAACACGCCGAGTTGTTTGAATCCATTGGCTGTGCCAAGGGAGAAAGAAGGCACCCTGTTCCCATGAAGATTTACAGTCTTGGAAGCCCAGGGGAAAGCCACTTTGAGTTGGGATCGACTTCAAGGCGATAAGTTTCAGGGTCTTTAATTCCGTAATCTCAGTTCTGGATATTTAACTAGACGCAGTAAAACAAGCACAGACAGGAAAAGGTCGGGCAGCATCGTTAAATAATATTAAAGTCTAGAAGCAACCTCTATGTCCAACACTGGCAATTGCTTAGATAATTGGACAGCTGTCCACTCCATCATGGCCTTGTCCCCTACCACTGAAAAAGAATAAAGTGTCTCTCTCTATGCTGATTTGGTGCCATCTCCATTATAAATGCATGCATAAACAAGCAAACAATAACAACAAAAAAAGTGGGGTGCAGTTGGGCATGCCTGTTGTATCGCTGTTTGCACACAAACCAAATATTTATACCTTATACTTAATTTTTCAATTGTGGATCCTGTTTAGATATGCTATGATTTGGCATTCTTCAATTTGTTGAAATATGGAACTCTTGGTAGTTTCCTAACGTGGATTTAATTTTTCAATCCTAATATCATTTTCCTCTGATATAATTTTAAAGAAACCAAAAGAGTAAAACCCACCCCTGTTGAAGCAATTCTGACTGAGATTTCTGAAGCTGTAAAAGTCTGACTGATTCATTGAGCTGGCAGCCCAATGCGTAAGCCACTGTGCCTACAAGCCTGGGTTAGTTTGCTCCATCTCTGTTGACAGGTGAGATTGGATAATTCCTTTCCCTTTGCTCTTTTTATCTGCTTGGGTGTCAGGGCTTTGTTTACTTTCCTGTGGAGATTGAATGGCCTCTTCTGTCTTTGCGTGCTCTGGGTAGGCTTGGGTCAAGTTGGGGACAAATTATTTCTTTGTTCCTTGATGGTGTGCTAGGTTTTGCATCACACCATCTGAGGCCGGTCTCTTAGAGCAGTGGTTCTTATCTGTGGGTGACTTTGTCCCTAGGAGTTAACTAGTAGTGTCTGAGGCATTCTCATTGCCACATGTGAGGGGAGATGCTTCAGAGTGAGGTAGGATGCATAACTCCCTACAAAGCCCAGCACAGCCTACCCCTGCAGAGCCACCCAACCCAAAACATCAGTAGCACCAAGCTCTGCCTTGGACGGAGGCTCGAGGTTGCCTGCACCACAATCCCAAAGGCATATGGTTCAAATCCACTGGCTGCGCCATAGGAGAAAGATGGGCAGTCTCCTCCTGCGTGGTTAACGGCCTCTGAAAGCCCATTGGAGGGTCATCTATGGGTCACTTCCGATTCGAGGGTCCACAACAACAACAAAGGTTGCCTGCCGCTGGAATTTTTCTGTGGTTTCCACGTTCTGCTTCCTCTTAGTCCAATGCAGCTATGGATAGTTTCCATGTCACCAGGCGTTTCTTTTTACCACAGACTTATTTGGTGCACTTAGAAGATAGCTATTCTTTGTGGTACATTTTCCTCCCTGGACAATGTGCAACAATGAATGAATGGAAAATCCAAGTTCTCTATAAACTTTCAATAAACTCTCAACTAAAAAAAAAAAAGAATTACAAACGAATCAATCTATCTGCCCACCTATCTAGTGAGTTGGTGTTCTTTTTCTAGACTTAACTCATTGCCGTGTTCTTATTAGTCATTGTCAAGTCAACTCTAATGCATGACTACCTTCTGCATAAGAGAATGAAACTGTTCCTGTACCATCTTCATGGCCTTTGACATGACCTGTAGAGTATATTAGGTGAAATATAAGCATTGTTGAATCTGGGTAAGAAGTATATTGGTGTTCTTTATATTACTCTTAATTTGTAACTTTTAGTAAATTTGAAATTATTTATAAATGAAATATTTTAATTTTATGAACCTAAAAAAAAAGATAGCTACTCTGTTGAAAACAACAGTATGCCTTAGAAATCACACTGTAACTCTGACCCATGCCTGCATTTTAGAAGAGAACAATGACAGTCGTGGGCCCAGTGGAGTTTCTGGCCGCATGGCAGTGATTTCTGGGTGTGTTTGGGGTTGGGAGTGTACCTCCTCCTGTCTACCTGCCGGTCCCTGCTCCCGTCTCCCCAGGACCCTCACCAGCTCGGCCAGGACAGGCAGGAAGATGATGGTGGCGGCGGTGTTGCTGGCAAACTCGGTGAAGAAGGCGATGACAGCGGTGATGACCAGCACGGCCAGGGCGGGGGGCACGCTCTCCAGGGGCTGCATCTGTTGGCCGATCCATGCAGACAGTCCTGACTCCTGGGGAGGGGAGGCACCAAGGGGCATGAAGGCAGAGGCTCAGAGAGGGTGAGTGACCTGGTCAAGGTCACACAGCAGAAAACCAGGCTTGAATGCAGCTTTCCTGCATCTTGGGTTACCTGCCACTCCACCCTGCAGAGTTTCATCATAACCACACTCTCTGGAGAAATCAAGGCATAGAGACATGTGTATATCACTGAAACCCTCTTGCCCCCCAAAAAATAATCATCCCAGTTCAGCTCTAGGACCCTAAGTTTACATCTCTTTTCAAAAAGTTTAATGGGGAAAAAAATATTCACTGCTTATCCAGAACCTAAAATTTCATAATGCACTTTCGAACACATTATGCTGTTGTGTGCTGTCAGGTAGGAACCAACCTATAGCTGATCGTCCAGTGGATTTTCAGATGCTCTAAATCACGTGAGAGATTACTTGTCTTGCTCCCATAGAGCATCTGGTGGATCCGAACCACACACTTGGGTGTTCGCAGCACAGTTCCTTACCACAAAGCCACTACCACAAAGCTCCCTACAACACAGTATACTGTTCTATATATACACAAAATAATGCATGTTCGCCTACAACTGTAATGAGAAGTTACCCTCAATGCATTAGTAATTTATGCTTAAACTTTCCCGCTTAAAAAAAAAGTCTCTACAGAATAAAGGTGCTTCTCTTATGCATAAGCTCTTTGTCTGCTAGACCCTCCCAGAGCCAAGGCCCCAAATGCTGCCTTGGCCTAGAGAGTCCCTGTGAGGAGAAAGTGGGTCACTGGTGTTCCCCATAAACCACCTTCCTGCCAGAGACGGACAGCAGTGAAGCGAACAAAGCTGGTGAGAGGGAATATTAATGATCTGAGCAAGTGAGAAGCCAGAACCCCAAAGCTGGGCTCTGGAGTCACCAGCTTCTAGCCAGTGTCCTTGGCCCCGCTTTCTCGGGTCCTTGCTTGGCTTGGCTTCCAGAGCCGGAGGGAGGTCTGGCAGCTTCAAGAGAGAGGAGAACCCCAGACGCCTCCCAAATAGAATCACCAGCCTCTTCCCATTCCCTGAGGAATCGGAAGCTTCATTTCCTTGGAAACTCACTGCCCCAAAGTGTTCTCAGGGACACTGGGGACCAACCGAGAGCAGGCAAGGCCAGAGGGAGTGTGGCTGAAGAGTAAGAGAAAGGCTTATTGTGACGTCTTGGGCAAGTGACTTAACCTCTCTGGGCTTCAGTTTGCTCATCTGTCAGCCGGCCATAGTGACAGTGTCTGTCTCAGAGAGAAGCTGGGGAGAAAGGCACTAGTCCATAAAATATTAAGGAAGTGCATGGGCTCATGGTACAAGTTCAGTACATGTTGGCTGTGATTAAAAGACATGAGATGCCAGAGTTGGCAAACACTCAGAACCCCGTGTGCCCCCCACCCGCCCCTCTGGTTGCCTGACTGTGTTCCACAGGTCTCCCATACATGTTGAAATGAGCCTGAGGGTTGGGGTGACCAGAGACTGAGCTGACAGTATAGTGCTCCCACATCTTTCCCACATCGGCCAGGTCCTCCCTTCGTCATCTCTTTCTACATACAGGAGGCTCATATCTGAGGACCTCAGTGGTGTGGTGGTTAAAAATGCTGAGATGCAAACCCAAAGGTCAGTGGCTCAAACCCACCGGCAGCTCCAGAGAGGAAAGTTGCGACAAGTCTGCTTCCCATAAAGATGTGTCTCCTTGGAAACTGTTGAGGCACTTCTGCTCTGTTCTCTAGCATCACTGTGGGTGGCAATCAACTTGATGGTGATGAGCTTGGACATTTAATGGGTAAGGTCACATTTTATAAGGATAGTATTAAGTTTAATGCTTTAACTCGAAATGTATGGTCAAAAACACCCTTGAAAAGATCCCAAAAGGCTCATAAGACACAGCTGGCCCAGCTGAGTGGACATTATTCTGTGTAATAATTCTTAACTGGAGAGAGGCAGAGAATTTTATTAAAGGGAAAACCCCCAGAAGGTTTTAAGCATTTGCTGCTGCTGTTGTTGTTGTTGTTGTTGTGTGCCATATGAAAAATAGCCAAAACTGAGGAGGACTTGAAGTGTTTTCTGTAAAAGGTCAAAGACTATAGTCTTCAATATGGATTGTATCTCAACATCAAGAAAACAAAGATTCTCACCAACGGGCCAATTGGGAGCATCATGATACATGGAGAAATGATGGAGATTTCTAACAACTACATCTTGCTCAGATCTACAATCAACACTTTTGCCAGCAGCATTCAGGAAATCAAAGATGAGTTGCTTTGGGAAAGCCTGCTGTCTGCGACCTCTCTAGAGTGCTGAAGAGCAAGGATGTCAGCGTAGAGACTAAGGAAAGCCTGACCTTCAAACTCTCCTGCCTCCTTACAAGCTGTGTGACCTTGGGTAAATTTGTGTCTCTGTGCTTTCATTTCTTCAACTAAAGGGTTATGGTAAAGATTAATTAAGTATACATCCAACAGTCCTTGTACATAGTAAATATTGCATGTGATTTATGATTATGTATTTAATTTCACAGACTCTCCATATAGACCTTACTTTGTGCTGGGCACTCTCTCAAGTACTTTGCTAGTATTTTATTTAGTGAGATAAGGAGTAAGGGGGACTGAAGAAGGTATGCCACACAGGTATGGTGTTGGCAAACAATACTGAATATGCCATGGACTTCCTTGGGAGCTTTCTGTCAAGAAAGAAGTCCAGCCAGGGGGCTTCCTAGAATTGAGACTGGAGAGGCTTTATTTCACACATTTTGGACATCTTATTAGAAGGGAGGTATCCCTGGAGAAGGACATCGTGTTTGGTAAAGCAGACTGTTGCAAACAAAAGGAAGGCCCACAATAAGACTGACTGGGACAGTGGCTGCAGCAATGGGCTCACACACAGCAGCGACTGTGGAAATGGTCCAGGACGGGACACGGCTGGATTCTGTTACACGTAGGTTGTTATGAATTGGAACTGACTCACCAGCACCTGGGTCTCAGTCTGTGTGGAAGCCTGAGCAGCTATGCGGCACGTGGAAACTATGGTGAGATCACTAAGTGGTTTGGTGAGTTTTTCAGGCTCAGGGGCAGCACTGGGATCTGCTTGCCATCCTTCGGAAGCATTCCCTGAGAGAGCTCACACATCCAAGCCCACGCTGCGTCCAGTCCAGCCTGGGGAAGTTCCTGGGCCACAGCAAGAAGGCAGGGTGTGCCCAAGCATTCCACGGCTTCTCCACCAGGCAGTGATTGGTGGCAGCGTGGGACAGCCTCGGGAGGGGAAGGCTCCCACAGGAGCTGGGGAGATGGGGCAGCTGCCACACAAAGCCCCTTGTTGAATAGAAACCCCAGCCAGCTGCCCAGAGCTGGGAGAGGAGCCAGCCCAGCTCCCAGCATGCTCTGCACTGCTGTGGCCCAGCGCCTACCAAGAGACAGGGCTCCCACCACTCCTGGGGCTCAGAGAAGTCGCTGGGGTGCAGGGTCAGCTCAGGCAGCCCCCTGCTTCTGGGCCAGGCTGAGTTCAGAACATTGCCATACATGGTACCATTTCCACTGAGGTACTCAGGCCAAGAGCCTCCAAAGCTGCTTTGATTCTGCCCCTTTCTCTCCTAACATCCAATCGTTAATCCTGCACCAGGTCAAGTTTCGTTCTAAATGCTGTCCATGTATTGACTCACTGAACGATTGTGATAAATCTATGAGCAAGGTACCATTTTGCAGATGCAGAAGCAGAAGCACAGAGAGGCTTTGTAACCTGTCTGAGACCACACAGCTAAGAAGCAGAGAGTCTGTGGTCTCATCCAAGAAGGTCTGGTTACACAGCACATGCTTCACACCACCGTGCCTGAGTGCTCAATGGAGCTTCTCCACCAGCTCTTTCCACAGACTAAGTCAATCTGCAATTCCTGTGTAGTCCATCAGGTGAGGTCCATGTGTATAATGGCCATTTACTTTTAAAAAAAATTTGTATTTTCGTCGTATGCCAGTGTCCATAGCAGTGTTATTCGCCATCGAAAGAGCATGGAAACAGCCCAAATGTCCAGCCACAATCAAATGGATTGAGCAACTGTGGACATTCATGCAATGGAATACTACACAGCACTCACGAGCAACAATTTTAAAAAGTACTACATAACTTATAGTACTTTGGGGAGAGACTGGAGAGCATTGTGCTGAGTGAATTAACTCAGTTTCACAAGGACAAATACTGCATAAAACCATTATTGTAAATATAGACAGATAACTAGTAAAACGTGTATGGAGGTCCAAGGGCTGAAGGAGTGGGAGCAAAAGAGTGAAGATGGGTCTCTGTGTGTGTGTGTGCATGCATGCGTGTGTGTGTGTGAAATCTGCTGTTCTATTTCTAACAAAATGTTTGCATTGATTTATTTTGTAATAAATTATATTGCAATAAAAAGGTATTTTCAATGAATAAGTGATTGTACAAAATTCTATCTTTTCCTCTCCAGCCTCATTTCTGTCACCAAGTTTATACCTTCCAACTATCAGTCCTTTGTTTCCAATTTACATTTTCATGCCAGTCATTAATTATCACCAATGCATCTTAATAACATATTTGACCAATTTCAGGCTACAAAAATTGAATGGTGCCATGCAAATAAGGTATATAGGAAGCCTACCAAAAGAACTGTTTAATTTTGTCATCCTGTTGTTGTTATGTGTTGCGAAGTCGACTATGATCCACACCGACCCTATGAACAATAGCTCTGAACCCTGCCCTGTCCTGAGACAACTGCACCATGTCTGATACACCTGTCCCCATTGCCACAGTCAATATGTCAATCCAGCTTATCTATGGTCTTCCTCTCCTGCGCTGACCCTCCACCCTTCAAAGCACGATGTCCTTCTCCAAGGACAGTAGTCTTTGTCATCCTACAAAGCTGAAAAATGAGAGAATCCAGAGGCTCAAGAGAGAACTTCATTTCCACCAAGAAGAAGAGCCAGGAATGGAGCGTGTCTTTTGGCCTGAGGGTCTCTGTGCTGAGAACTTCTTAGAACAGAGAAAACGCTTTGAGACCAGAGATGGAATGAGGCAGCAAGCATGGCAGAGCCTGGAGGCAGCAGAAGCACGAGGCTGACATGAGCTAGTGGAGTGGGCTTCCTGGTCCAGAGTGAGCGAGCTGAGAGCCTTCTGGCTGGAGGCTTCCTGTGGAGTGGGGCTCCTCCACTCACTCATTGAAAGAGTTAAAGAACTTTGTAATCCTCAGCCCAGCAGGGTCCCAGGGGCGAGGAGCCAGGAGCAGCCTACCTACTGGCATGGGGAGCTATCCTGAGTGAAGAACTGTATCCTTTGTTGTTCCTGATACTGATTTTTACCTAGTCTCTAATAAACGCCATACTCATGAGGTGTGAGTTCTGTGAGTAAATTATGGAACCCGTTAGAGAAGCAGAGAGCATTATGGGAGGGATGACTGGTATCAGAATTGGTTAAAAGGTGGCGGGTGAAGACATGTTTGACCTCTGCCTGATAGGAATCTGTCTTACATTTGCATAGTCCTACCTCGCCATGCTGCGAGAGTTATAAAAACCGTGGCTAAAAGAAAGCCACAAGTAATTCACTGCACTGCAGACCTCCTCTAACTTCTGGAGCGGGAAGAAATTCACCGTCAATATCAACATCACGGATCAGATCCTCCCCTCTTGTTCTCTGCTGTACCAGGCACCGAGTGTATGCAGCTGTGACCAGGCCTTGTCCACAGGTGCCCCACAAGATCCGTAGCGCACCCACTGCCCTGCTGCCCTGCCCGGCCTTACCTCGCAGCCTTTGGCCATGGCGAAGCCCCCGCCCAGGAGAAGAATGATGTTCCAGGGCACCGTCTCCTGTGCCTTCTTCCACGTCAGCAAGGGCTCTGTCTCCACGTTAGAGGCTGAGCAGAGGAGACCCAACACCCTCAGTGAGAAACGCAGTCTGAAGAAAGACCCCCAATTTCCACTCCCCAAGAGGGGGACCGCAACACAATCTTGGGGACATTCAGTCCAAGGAAGGGGTCTCGGAGCCCCCCCAAGGCAAGAGAAGGAGTTCTCTAACAGAATCTTGAGGTCATTCAGCCTGGGGAGCTTGCTGGGGAGAGAGGGGTCCCAGTATACTCTTAGGGAGGGACATTCAGCTGGAGGAAGGGACCCAGCACAACCTCAGGGAGACACACTTGGCCAGAGCAAGGCCCCTGAACTTTGTCCCATTTTTGTGGAGACTCTTGGGGTCTCCAGGAGGCCACAGCCTGTCCCTGGAGTCTGACTCTGGAGCCTCAGGAAACTTCCACGAGCACGGAGGTAGGAGGGCAGTCGTCCTCTGAGTGTGAGTGTCCTCTCTCCGAGTGCGAGTGTCCTCTCTCCGAGTACGAGTGTCCTCTTCCTGGGCAGGACATTGGCATGGCATAGGCGGATGCCTCTCCTCCTCACAGGGCAGTGCTATTTTTATCTCCATTTCAAAGAGAAAAGAAAGCTTTCTTCTTAACTGAGTGTGTACAGGGAGGGAGAAAAAGAGGAAGGAAGGTCAGAAAAGGCCACTTCTGCCCGTGAGCTTATGGGGTGGTTTTCATTTTCTCAGAAGTAGCATGAGGTGAAGTGGTTTGGACAAGGGTCAGCAAACTTCCCATCAAGGTCTAGAGAGTCAGTCATTTGAGCTTGAAGACCCTCTGACTCTACTCAGGTAAGAAGCTTCACTTCAGTTCCAAAGGTATGTGGTTCGAATCCTCCAGCTGCTTCGTGGGAGAAGGATGGGCCATCTCTTTCTGTGCAATTTAGTCTCTGAAAGCCTGCTGAAGGGTCAGCTGTGAGTCGCAGTTCCAATTTAACAGCAATCAGTTACTTGTTGAATCTGCAGAAGCAGATTGCCACCTGTTTATCCTACTGGGGGATTCAAACTGATGACCTTTATGTTAGTAGCAATGCTTTCACCATTTCACCACCAGGGCTCCATACACATAAATATGATGCCAGGAAGCTGTGAGTATTCTAAAGGAATAATGAAACCAGGTGAAGACATGAGTGGGAGAGAGGTGGGTCTAGTTTTTGTTTGTTTCAGATGGCACGTGAGGGGTGATTCCTCTGGGGAGGTGACATCTGGACAGGGGCCTGGATGAAGTGATGGGGTGAGCCGTGCACACAGCTGGAAGAGCTGGATGGACAGAGAGGAAATAGAGTCTGTTGTTGTCTTCATCATAATGAACCCTAAATGCAGTTCCCAGGGCATGTAACACACTCAGGATTATTGAGTGACCAGAAACGTAGACCCTTGGAAGAAGGAGGGTGGTGGCGGGTACAAGGAGATGCCAGGGTTGGCCTGGACACCTGGGTTCCAATCCTCTTTAAACTTGGGGTGTCACTTTCTCTTCACGGGCTATATCCTCACCCAGAAACGGGCTATTTGGCCATTCTGTAAGGCCCCACATGACCCCAAGTGCTAGGAGGTCCCCCAGACACGCTCAACACTTCAGACACACTCAACAGTAATAGGGGGGCATCGGAGACCCCTCCATTCTATGATGGGGCCATCAAGGAGCACTTCTCCTGCGTGGATCCCGCCTCTAGGGTCGTGACTACATGCCTCTTAGTACTGTTTTCACTGATGATGATGATGATGGTTAATCCTGGGTACCAGCTGTCAGGCAATAAGGAGATGCATTGCACTGGGAAAGTCTGCAGTTAGGGACTTCTCCAAATTATTGAGGAGTAATAATGTCAGCTTGAGGACTAAGGTGCATCTGATTCAGGCCATGGTCTTTCTGATTACTATGTGCTGAGAGCTGGACAATGAATAAGGAGGACAGAAGAAGAATTGCTGCCTTTGAGCTGTGGTGTTGGAGAAGAGTATTGAATATTCATCCCCTGGACAGTCAAGAGAACAAACATATAAGTCTTGGAGAGGGTTCAGCCGGAGTGTTCTTTGGAGGCAAGAATGAGGAGGCTTTGTCTCACATACTTTGGATTTGTTGCTAGGAACGTCTATTCCTTGGAGAAGGACATGATGCTGGGAAGGGTGGAGGGTTGGTGAAGGAAAGGAAGACCTCAACCAGGTGGATTGACATGGTGACTGCTGTAATGGGCTCTACTGTGTCAGGAAGTGTGAGGATGGCACAGGATAGAACAGGGTTCAGATCTTTTGTTCAAAGGGTCGTTATACTTGACTCAATGACACCTAACAACAACAACAACAACTGTCTTCACTGAGCCCACCAAGACCCCAGCCAGGACCCCTTTACCTTTGAAGTCAAACCACCACTTGAAAGATGGCCTTTGGGATGGGAAGAAGAACAAAATTGTGACAATGGACACACCAGTGACAGCATCGGAAATATACCTGCAATGACAAGACCCCAGAGCGTGTGACGCTGGGCACCCTGGCCCCCCTGGTCCTCCCAGCAGGCCTCAGGCTGACAGGCTTGCCCATGAGGATTATGGGAAGGGAACTGTCCACCTGTGAAGATCTAGCCCTGCACTGCATTTCACAGGAATATGACCGCCCATGGGTGAAAGCCTTTTCTCAGAGAGCTCCCTTAGCTGGGCTTAGTGCTGCCAGAATCTGGCTGTTGCTGGTCCTTCCAGCTCAAGGGCTTGACCAAAGCAGGAGGAATCTGAGAGCCATGGAATGCTGGAGTCAAAGGAACCTCGTGAGTCACCTGACCTAGAGTCTTGTTTCTATTGTTCAGCTTCTGCTTGAATTTCTCCTTCGATGAGCAGCTTACCACACGGAGGTACCGCCCATGTCCACCAGCAGAGCCCAGATGGATCCAATCCCATCATCCCTCACAAACCAAGTGCCACTTTCCAAGCACCCAAATGTGTCCTTTGTGATTATTCTTCTCAGGACCTGCCCTCTGAGGCAAGCAGCAGCTTCCATGTCAGAAGAGAAATTCAGAACAGAAGCAACTTGGTCAGACAAGGGCCAAGGAGGACATGGGTCTTGAATCTGGAGTTTTCTGGCTTCAGGGAACCACAGAGCCGATTGCCAACAAAACTCCTTCAGTCTATGCGTCTTTGGAAGGAAGATTATTCAAACGGCTGAGAAATTGGAAAGATGGCTATTATCACAACAGTGAAAGAAACAGAAATTAAAACACTAATAGAAGTGCACTCATCTGCTAACAGATGACAAAAGGATAATAATGGCCAATTAGAGTGTTAGTACAAATAAATGGGAAATAAGGAAATAAAATGGAAAGCACTTGGCTACATGTTTTGATATTTTAAATGTGAATCTTGATCTAGTCATCGTACTCCTAGGAGTTTACCCTCAGGAAATGACCAGATTCTTATTCACAGACTTTTGTACAAGGATCTTCATTATTTATAAGAGAAAATAAAAACCAACCAAACCCCAAGATAGTTCTTAAAGGGGACATATATAAAATGTGCCTCGGCCATAGAATAACATATTCTCTGTATGTTTTTTTTCGATAGATTTTACCCCGCCTCCCAACAGCTCATTGTCGTTTAGATGGAGCTGACTCACAGCCGACCCTTGCATGGGTTTCCAAGGCTGTAAGTCCCATGGAAAGAGACTGCCCATCTTTCTCCCACGGAGCCTCTGGTGGATTTGAACTGCTGGAGAGCTTGGGTTTTAGGTCGCCAGTGCAACTCCTTACAGACTAGGCTCCTAGAGCTCCCTATTTTAATTTTTTCCTATTAAAAAATGACAAAGGTGACAAGCACTGTGGCAATTGGACAATTAAAACAGACATTGGTGGGGGGAAGAAGAACAAACTGGGGATGAGGGTGGAGAAAACAGTGCAACAATGAATGAATGAAAACCCAAAATCTCTGTAAATGTTCATTACAACTAATAAAATGTAATAATTAAAAAAACCACAAAAAATGACAAAGGATAGTGTCTACTTTGATATATTGACACAGAAATAAGGCAGATACCTTATAATTATTTTTTAAAAAGGAGAGAAAAGCAGGTTTTTCTCTGCAGCAGTGGACACAATCCAAAAAAGGAATTTGTTACACTCATCAAGACACCCCCATCATGTTGAATGAAACAAAATCTCATTGCTGTCAGGTCATAACCAACTCAGTCGCTGACCCAACAGGGGACTTTCAGAGGCTGGAAGCTGTATTGGGGGAGAGCGCTCATCTTTCTCCATCGGAATCACAGGAGGATTCAATCTGCCAGAAGTGTGCCAACTTGAGGTTAGTGCTGCAACTAACCCACTAGACCTTTAAAGGATCGGATATTATAGAATAAGCATAGTGGTGAGGAGCTATGCAGCGACAAACTGAAGGCACATGGTTCAAATCCACAGTGGCTCCATGGGAGAAAGATGGACTGTCTCCTGTGTGAGTTACTACCTTCTGAAAAACGACTGGAGGGTCAGCTATGAGTTGGTTCTGACTTGATGGTACATAACATAGCAATATTAAGTATTTTTTTTAAGTGAGTGAGATAGCAGTATTTAAAAAGAGTGAGGTAGCTAGGTGATAACAATTTGTCCATGATCATACTGCATTTTCCAAAGTTGTAGAAATAGGTCTGCTTTGTTGTATGTGTACAGGCTACACTCGAGGTCTGTTCCTAAGTGTGACTTTGAGAATTTGTAGAGAAGTTGGAACAGACGCACACAGTGACAGAAAAGGCTTGCAAACTTTTTCAATGGCGTGAAATCTACAGGTGCAGTAAGGGAAGATGATTGTGCTGAAAATATTTTGTATGTTGGGGCTGGTTGAATAGTTTAAAAGTGAGGGCAAATTTATATAATAGTGGAGCAGGACTTCTAAATAACACTGGTTCAAGATGGCAACAGTACACCACTTTTAATATATGTAACTTTCAACTGTTGTTGTTGTACACCACAGAATCAAAACCAAGCCAATACTAATTTTTTTTAAAGTGTGTGTGTGTGTGTGTGTGTGTGTGTGTGTGTGTGCCGTCAAATCGGATCTGACTGGTACAGCAGAATGTCCCTCCTTCTCCTGCAGAGCATCTGGTGGATTTGAACCACCCACCTCTGGGATTGCAGTATAGCTTCTTGCCACTAGGCCATCAGAGCTTCCCAATACTAAATATTTGTAATAAACCAAATGCTATTTCAGGTTCAAGCTGGAATTCACCCTGAGGCACCAAGGCAATCCTTAAGGTTTACCTGATTCTTGCATTGTATTTCCTGGTCCCTCCCTCCTGAGCCAAGGGGAAGGTTTTCAATAGAAAGAGCTTGGCTTCATTTGCATTGAATTCTCTTTGTGATTTACTTTCTGATAATTTTCAAAAAAGATACAGGGAAGCTGCAATGGGGCCTCCAGTCCAGAACTGCTGGCTCCCTGTTTTTACCTCTCTGTTTTATCTCATTTCTGGCTGGCTGTCTCATTATTAATAATTCTAAAAATACTTTACCCTCGGTCTGCAACATTCAGAGGCAGGTAATCACACGGGAGGAGATTGCCTATCCTTCTTTCATGGAGCACCTGGTGGCCTTGAACTGTGTGCCTTCGGAATTGCAACACAGCTTCTTGCCACTAGGCCGCCAGAACTCCTTTTCCATCAACCTGCACCCTAATGCTTCTCTATCACACACATGCGCACACACACATACACGTATACATGTATGTTCAAATATGTATGCTGAAGGGACAGCAGAAACCCCAATTTTTTATAAACCCCATTAAGGCTGGAGGCAGAAGCGGGCCATAAAAATTCTTAGCTTAGGGCAAACATGAGTGCCCCAGGTAAAGCCTTGTCTGTCTTTGAAAAGCAAGGAATTAACTAGTGTCTACTTGACACAGAAGGAGTAAAGGCGGGCAAAGTAGCCAGCCTGTCAAAAGTCAACCCAAATGACTAATCCCCCAGCCCACCAACCAAGATCGCAATCCCCCTGCCCTAACAGGGACAGGACACTCAAAAGAGCTATAAAAGCAAGGGGGG